TCCTTCCATCCAATGTCCCTATTGCCCATTCTAAGAAGTGTCACCGTATCTCTTTCCCATGTGGAGCCGTGACAGCATTGGAGGTTGAGGGGAGAGTTTTAGATTTTAATTCTTACTTCACTATTCACCCTTTGTTGAAACCAATCCTAACGCATTGCATTTTAAAAGCACAAATTGAAAAGAGTTCTCGGTATCCCTCGGCACTGAGATAATGACTCTCACTGATGAGGGTCTGCCCTGCATGTTCCTTGATCTCAGGAGCATTCGGGGAAAGCTGGGCTTGTTTAATTCTCTCGGAGGAAACTGGTCCAAACTAAGGGAGTCTCCCAAAGTCTCCTAATTGGCCCATGACCTTTACTTTCTGGGGAAAGCCTCACATCCTGTCAGAGTTCATCGTCACTGTCAACATGACAAGATTCAAACTGGAAAGTCGACCCTCAGTGTTGAGTGAGTGGCACCATCCCATGGGCTGCCATCACAGAATCAATAAAAAGGAAGAATAGCAACAATTATAATAATTAATAGGAAAAAATAAGCTGAGCACAGCATTCATCACTCTCTACTTCCTGACTGGGGATGCAAGGTGACCAGCTGCTTCACGCTCCTGCGGCCATGATGGACTGTGTCCCTTTGAACTGTGAGCCAAAAGAAGTCCTTTCTTCCTTACGTGGCTTTTGTCAGGTATTTTGTGGCAGCAACAAGAAAAGTAAACTCACTTGAAAAACTCCCTCCATCCCACTTAGAGATTGATGTTGGAGAACTTCTCCTCTGAGAAGACTGGCCACTGGGGCCAGCACCCAATCAAAAGGCCCTATGAATGAGGTCATCACTGGGTCTCTTCCTCTGGAAGGTTCTATTTGCTTTATCCTGCCATCACACTGCTTCTGAGATGACACGAGGCTTTCAAAATGCCACCCGGGCAGAATGAGCGCTGCAAGGAAGTCCTATGCACTCAGCTCTGTCCTCTCCCACCATTTTTCTCAAGAGTGTGCACTCAGTTCACATCTCCGTCACCAGGGCCAAGAAGCATGGCATAAGTGAATGTCTTTTCATGTCTTTTCACACACACACAGAGAGAGAGAGAGAGAGAGAGAGAGAGAGAGAGAGAGAGAGAGAGAGAGAGAGAGAATCCTTAGTACAATGGCCATAGTTACAAAGCTACTGTCCAAACTTTTGCATCCTGGGAGCCATCCCCCCACACTGGGTGAATCCTGAAGTGTCCCTATACAGATAAGGGCATTATAGAAGCTGTGGACCACAAAGTGCCTTTCAACCGGAGCCTTTTGGCTCCATGGTATGGAGAAGCCACAGACTCAACTCTTAAAATAGACACTCAAAATACACTTAATAAATAGTCCCTTTAGGAACGGAGGCACCCATCCAAAAGAGCCATGCTCAGAAGCCTCTTTCCCTTCCTCTTTCCATGACTTCTTCTCCAGCTGGGGGTTCAGAGACATTATCTCATCCTGGGGCTTTGGTGGTGACAGACAGGTAACAGGGAGAACAGACTGCTTTCCATTGCTCAACTGCTGAAGTCAGAAAAGGCAGTGGCCATGTTAAAGGTACACAGGAAGCCAAGGAGAAATCCCCCTCCGCCATCCCAAGTCCACTGTGCTGCTCTGTCTGTCCCAGCAGTAAAGCCAAGCTTGCCCTTGACACTTTGGTTTGGCTGCAGAATGCTGAATCCACACAGAGGAAGACGTTCTTCTCGGACTCTGCGTGCTGAAATGTGAGAATTACCTCTGCTCACTCACTCCCACCCCCTTCCTCCTGCCTACTCAAGTTCTACCACATTCACTTTCAGCGGCTGCCAGGTGAAGCCCTGGCCAGCACCTTGTCTGATCACATGCCTTTTCAACGTCGTTGGCACACACCGCAATTGATCCGGCAGACCAACTCCTCTTGGAAAAGGCCAGATTCAGGTAAGCCCCAGAGGTGGAGCCGTTAGAGGTGGCTGGGAGTTCACTGTGCACATGAACCAGATTCTCAGTGATCTTGTAAATAATGCATCACAACAATAAAGACAGAAATAGGGGAGTGCTTGTGTGCCACACATTCCCTTCAGCACTTTCATGCATCCTTCATTTGATAAGAACATCCAAAGATGTACCAGCCCCTCTCCCACCACAGCTGGCCTCCCATTCACAGCCTGCAAGGCACATACTGCCGCCCGCCTCCCCTTTCCACTAACCACCTCCAGCTACAAAATGCAAGGCCATCCGCTGGACCCTAGATATGGTTCTGCTTCTCAACTTGACAAGACCCAAGGCCTTTCACAAAGGCTCCAATGAGGTGACTGACGTCTGGTTTCGTCAACTCTAAGTGAATAATTAATACTTGCCAGTAAAGAAATAGACTCATTGTTATGGTGGCCACATGGAGGCTACAAAAAGGCCATTTTGTGAAGCTCTTGGTGGAACCCTGGGGCTAACAGTGGCCCAAAGAAGCCCCTTTGAGCACGGAGGCTGAGGCTGAGATGTGAGGACAGGAGCCCTATACTGTTTTCCAGCAACACTGCTCCCAATGCTAATTAGCCTGTTGCCTATTCAGTACCTAATTTAGCTTTCAGGTCAGTGACAGCCTCAGAGGCCCACTGAACACAGAGGGGGCACAATAATCAGAGGGTACGTGTTCTGTTACCGGGGCCCTCTACTCGCTGTTAAATCGCTGCTCCATGTGATCTGATTTGAGCAAAAGTCTCCAAACCTAGACAGCTGTATACCCCCACCCTTGGCCTAATGCCTAAATCATGCTTATCCTTTCCATTTTCCACCACAGAGTGAACAAGGCAGTCTTGGGTTCCTATACAACCAGTCAGATCTGGCCAGGAAATATAATAAAGAAGCTTAGTGAGCTAATGCCACTGGCCTGGGGCTCAGCAAGCAGAAGTACCCAGAGGTGCTGGCTTTGTATGCCCTAGCATGCTGTTTGTGGCTTTGTAACCGTCGGGGCAGATGGCAGCTAGCGTCAGGGAGGAACTCTCTATGGGAAAATTTCACACCCCACAAGTGGAGACTGGTGATCAACAAAAGCCTTCTGGTGACACTAACCCCTGACCTATTGCTCACAAGCTCTCTCTCTCTCTCTCTCTCTCTCTCTCTCTCTCTCTCTCTCTCTCTCTCTCTCTCTCTCTCTCTCTCTCTCTCCACTCCTGCCCACCAGGCCAAAGCAACCCTGACTGAAAATGAAGCTGACATCTGCTAGATACTGTCATTCTGGTGACAGTATCACTCCCACATCTAGCTTCCATCTGAAAGTCAACCATTAGCGATACCAAATATTTTGACTTCAGCTCTGTATCCTATTAAAATGTCTCCTATCCTCATCGTCCTTTCTGATCCCATGACTTCTGAGGAACCTGCTCTGCATCCAATGGGAAACCCTTTTGTATTCAGCTCTTCAAGATAAACACCACTCACTGGCTCCTCTCTCAAGCAAGTTGGACAGGAGAGAAGGAACACACAGATCACTGCATGGGGTGGGGGGAGGCTCCAGAGGGGGCATGGTGGTGGGGACAACTGCCTTCAAGGACTTTACAATCCTGACTATAGATATGAATCTATATTTTCGTCCTCCAACAAGGGGGTGGTGCATTGAGTGCTAGGCATGGGTTCTAGCAGGGCCTGTGCCCAAGAGTAAGGATGGTCACTTCTTGCCCTAAGGGGAGGTGGGCAAGAGGTAGAAATGGTAGTTTCCGAGCCAAGAGATCCTTGACTGGGGACCCTGTCTGCAGTCTGCTCCCCAAGTCTTCCTGCCCAACCGTGGAACTCTGGGCACTAAGAAACTGGGCAAGCCAAGTTCAAAGTCAGGTTCCCTGGGCTGGGAAAAGCATCTGGACAGCCGCGTTAGCAAACCATCATTCGTTTGGACTATACTCCCTGCCCCCACTCTGAAGCATAGGCCACTCCTTCCCTTCCTGTGCACACAGGAGGGTTTACCTCCCTGGGGGTGATATAGCCATCTCCCACAACAGTCAGGTGGGTAGCTACATATGAAGGAAACCTTGTCCCCCAGGATTCCGTCACCCTACCTCCTCCCTCCCCCACAGCCAGCTGGGGAGAGAGGTGCCAGCATAGGCCAGAAAGCTTCGAAGCAGGTCAGCCATGCCTCCTGGCTCATCAGAGTCCTCCTCTCTCAAACCGCGCCGCCGCTGCGGCCCCGGCTCCGCCCGGCTCCGGTTCACCGGGGGCGCCCAGTATCCCATTGCCTAGCAGCCGGGCCCAGGAGGCTCTCGCTGGCCTTGGTGGAGTGATGGTGGCCGCGACCGCAGAGGCGCGGACCTGCCAGAGATTTGCGGTACCTGGACACAGGGATGTGGCCCCCGCCTGGCTCGTGACCCCTACAGGTGCCCCTGGTCCTCGAGACTATCCCTGTCTCCCCTTGGTGTGGGCGGCTCCGGCCCAGGCCACGCACCTGCTGCTGCTGGGGCCGCCGCGGGGAGCTCCGTGCTGTACCGGCGCCTCCTGGGAGATGCTCCCTGCCCAGGGCGCGCGGTACGTTGGAAGGGAGCAGGGGCAGCGCCGGGCCTGCAGCTGGGCCTCCAGGGACCCGGGGCCGCGCAGCCTCGGGCGCCAAGCCAAGCGCCCCCAGCGGGCTGGGAGAAGTGGCGCCCGCCCCTCGCGCATCCTCAGGAGCGCATCCTCCGCCGAGGCAGCATTTCGGTCCCCGCATCAGCCCCAACATCTCCAAGGGTCCCTTACCTGGGTCGGTTGCAGGTCCAGGGGAGGGGCCCGAGGCTACCGCAGGGCCCCGCGCCGGGGCGCAGGATGCTCAGCCCGGCT